GATTTAATTCCGGGTGACAGACTGTCTGATCTAGAGTATGCAGACGATATCTTCCGCTTGAATTTGCTTCGACATTCCAATCTTTGTTTCGCTCTTTTGTCCAAATGGGCAACCAAACGACAGCAACGAAAACCGGCTGACGAAAGTGTATTGTTAATGGTTGTAACAACTGAACTGTTTGTGGAGATAGTTGTTCACTGCTTTGAACCTACTGCCTCAAACGATATGCCTTAAGCATAGCAATATGGCTTCATATCCTTTTGGTAGCACCCGAATGTATTACAAGCTGTTGCGATTAATCACCATTGTGTTCTTCCGTGCTACAAGTAGCCGTTTCAATTTCAGTTTGTTCAACCATTAACCATCCATTTACGTGCTCCGGTTTTCGTTGCTGTCTTTCGGCTGTGCATTTGGTTGAACAGTAAGAAAATGACAGGAAATTTGAAAGTAGAGTCGAATAGAAAATGCAGAATTTACTGGACTATTGTTGCGGGGAAATGGAGAAGATGCACAAACGCCGCTGTTCACGACTCTTAGTATCTCTATCCCTCGGTTACGATCATCCCGACGTTCCCAGACAGGGACCTATTTGACTTAGTCTGGTTATGGTTTTCATACCCTCACGCCAGGTCTTAGCTTGACCACCCTTAATCACTTTCCAAACCGCTACCTGCTTCGGCAAACATCGCTCGCCGTGACAGCCTATCTAGTGACATGCGTAACACATGTCCCAACCAACGTAATCTACGGAAGTCGACTACCTGCTCCAGTGGACGACCGCGGTTACCTAAGACTCTACGCCTAACCTCAGCATTGCCCGTCCGGTTTCCCCACGGGATCCGTGCAACACAGAGTTGATAGCGGTTTTCAAAATCGACAGTCTACCTTTATCCTATTTTCTTAATGACCAAGTTTCTGGGCCGTATAGCAGAACTGACCGAACTGCCACGGCAACAGGTCGCCGTAGTGTCTTCTGACAACAACCAAAAGTACATCAGCGATCCCTAACCAAAACTAGATTCAAAATTGTTGTCGCTCTTAGGATTGCTTCTATATACTCCTCGTATTCGTTCTATCCAAACAAATTTGCCGTCGTATGACTAAAATGAACGCTTTATAAACCTTGCATTGAAGACAATCAACGGTCTGCGGTGGCTGCAGAATGTTATTCCTATGTGGTGTTCTCCTTGTGTGAAGTCACTCTGGTTATAAGCTGATACAATCGGCAATTCTTTTTCTTCCACTGTTATTACTATCTTTAACTCAATCGAGAATACACCAATCTATATGCACGGCAATAATTACCACAAATCAATCGGGATAGTGGCCTTTTAGTGCAACTGAGTCGCGAATGCTGCTAGTGGTCATATGGTTTCTTTTTTGCTGGAAAATCCTTGATTTTCGAATACCGCCACACTTAACCAATCCCAGCGGATTCCCTTTCACCCAGCATGAACACCCACATCCTATTCGTTCCTTATATGGTTCTGTGAAATTTGAAAATTCTGGGGTTACTGGTTCTTGAACAGTAGTCTGTCTTTGCCTTACTAGACTCTATCCCTTCTGCTTTCACCTTTTAATGTACAATAATTGTGAGACAGGTACGAGTAGTTTCGTTTCTTAAGTCTACTATCCACTGATTTATGTCTGTCCGGCTTTCTTTTATCCACATGGCTATTAGCTCATCGGTTTTCTCCCTTTCTTTCTTAGTCTGCAACTCCTGTAGAATTACGGCCGAGATTGAGAGAAGTTCAATCAGCGAGAGCAGTTTCCCAAGTCGCTCGAGTGGCTTACACTCCGTCTGTTCCACACCCGTCTCCCTTCGTGGTGAGTGTGTGCTTTTGTTTATTGGTACTTATGAAAATCAGTTATTCATTTATCTTGGCTCAAAACAGTGACAAGTAACTGAATGATTCCTCGCCATATAGCGCCACTTTCCAGCTTTGTCCACGGCACAGACTCGTGCAACCTATCTGAATTCACGTTATCTTCATCACTTTCACAGCTGTATTATATTTCTTCGTCTTCTTTCGAAGCAGTTTACAATTTTTCACTTATTTACATTTGTTCTTAACCTCCACATATACTATAAAAGTTGCAAATAAGACCACCAGTTAAAATTGCAGTCATAATGCATAAAACAAACCTGTTGACCCGACTTATTGGGAGACAAAAGAATTGCTGGCCACTCATGGTATTGAACAGACGATCGTACAGAATCACAATTCATTCCATAAAAAATCAACGAGGTGAACGCCTATCTCGTGAGCATACCACCAACGGAATTCCGGACTCTTATTGGCCGTGGCCATTGTCAGTCCTATGCAGCCTGCACTGAAAATAGCTAGTGTAAATTTGCCCGCATTCCTCTATATTTAGGGTTGGATTCCATTTGAGCGATGAACTTATAATCCTTTCTCTAACCGTTTTTATCACTTATGTTTCGTTTTGTTTTTATTCCCAGGAATCCGCTTTTTCCTAGTTGCAAGCGGCCATCCATCCATTTCTATCCGTCAGACCTGGTTTCAGGCCATCCTTCAGATTGTAAAGCTATGAAGCACAAACTCTGTATTGGTTGTCGTAGTTTGTTCTACAATTATGCTGATTTTACCTCTGTTTCTTTTCAAGGGTATTGAACATCATCCCCGGAACTCTTTTATTCGTGGTCATGTTGTGCGAGTATCTTCCGATCTCTGCCCATCAAAATCAGGCAGGGAAGCACGAGTGAGGTCGATGTTACGTATCCATCTCACCCTTAAATAAGCAATGAAGTGGAGATAAGATGAAGATCGTTTTTGTTTGTGTAATTCTTGCATCTTCGGGTGTGAGCGCATCGTTTGTGTTGATTCTCGCATGGTTCTTACGTTGCCTCTATATCAACAGTTTCTTTGTCTGCTTGACACGTCTAAAGCAGGTGTCAAGTGTTCATGTTTCTGACCGGTTCGTGCTTGTTCTGCTGTTTCCACATTGTCTTAGTGAAAAGGTTGTCCCTCGCCTTACCGTTTTATGAAGATGAGGGATTTCCCTACATGGTGCTCTACTCAGAATTGATATATTTACACCCTTGCATTCACTAATCTTCCTGATTTTGCGACGTAAATTGATTGCATTTTTTGCACCTCATTTATCAACAATCGTTTATTGGCAGCGATCGGTGAAATTACTTTCATTGTACTTCGCGGTACAGGGATAATGATGTTATCCATATAGATTTTTCTGTCAGGGTTAAATCAATATTGACATCCAAAAATATTTCGCAACAGATACAGAACTCCAACGTACGGCCGAATCATACTGTTTATGTACGTTAAGATAATTTTGATTTCCCGTCGACGCCAAACCCAAGTTTCCGGGACAGCCTTCACCGGTAAACTGGTGCACAATCGGTGGTTGGTCTGGCGTTCCACTGTTATATCAATATTCACCCGTCCTCTGGTTGTCGTCTTCATCAAGTCGAAGACCAATTCGTCAACTGCTGGTCCGGTTTGTTTCGAAATATGTACTCAGCGCATAGTGATTGTTTCCTCAAGCGCCGATACCCAAGTGGAGCGCTCCAACCAATCAAAATACCTTATCGATAATGCGTTTGTGATCTTCCTACACTAGAGAGAGGGAACAATGGTTACCTAAACGAACTATTTGCAGTTTGATTGTAAAAGATGGCAGCACTTTTAGATAATACCAAATCAGCCACATTGCTAAAGTAATGTCGGCGTGGATTCCTTCCGGGCTCCCACCTGTCAATTTTGACTGTTTATCTCGAGATATGTTTGCTTTCACGATTCTCACTATCCTCTAGTCTGAGTTGGTTTCAATCTTAGGCTTTTGTGTAGTTACTTTTCTGAACCACTCATGGATTGCTGTCTGATTCATGCGTTTGTTTCCCGAATCAACATGTACACCCTAATCACTTGTATAGGAGTTCAGTCATCGTCGCATACAATCCACACGATTAAGCTTTATATTTGCTATCGCAAAACGTCATCTNNNNACCCGATCGGTAAAATTGCGTTATACACACACTAGAGGTGTCGCTTAACTAGAAGCCTAAAAACAACAGTGACAGATTAGCCATAGAGGAGAGTACTGAAATCGCTGAAGGTCGCATTTTTTTCATATGTGTATCGTGACCCGTAATTCAGATCCAAGAAAGACAATAAATACAATTGTATGCTCATTTTCGAGTAGACAGTTTCGAATATTCAGGGACATTTTGAGATAATTCCACTGGCTCTTATTGACTATGAATTTCTTTCAGTTTCCTTCCAGTTGTAGTATTGTGCATAATCACTCACGCTTTTTCTGGGATGGTTACTCGTTTTTTGGGTTATCCTGATCCGTCTTACATCGTTGAACCAAAAGGCTTGAAACCATGTTCGTTGGGAGATTCGAGAACCAGAGCATTCATTTCTCATGCACTGACAAGCATACTGTTTTCATTCCCTTCATTTCACATCCCCGACCTGACACACCCCACCTTTGAAGTGTGTTGATAATAGGAATTCATGCCTGATTAAGTGAACCAGTTCACTGTGTTTTTAAACATCACGCGGATATCTTTTGCTGAAAAAATTGAAATTGCGACAAACTGATGCATATATGCCTAATCGCCTTGAAAGAGTGTGGAGTTTTTTTCTCGACACATTCACAGGCCCCTACTCCCTACACGTCACTGATCCACACGTCCAAATTTGGTGGTCGTCGTCCAGATCCATCCCCATACCTGTCGTCACCCGTCCCGGTGGTCTCATTATCTCGATTGACATCTCCTAAGGCTGAAAAGGAGCAGACAAAAGAAAACGACCCTGTTGCGGTTAGTTGTGACATTCCGTATTCGATTTGAGCAAATAATTGTAACTCCTATTTCTCATTCTCTTCGCCTGTTCCGTAAACACGATTCGTTTTCACACTAAGCCGTATTAACTCGAACTTCGTCCGTCGAAGGTGCATTTTTTCCACAAATTCATCCAAGGATTTGTCATCGTCTTTGTTGGTTGTTCAGTTCAGTTTTTACAACCAATAACCATGCACTCTAGTGCTCCGGTTTTGGTTGCTGTCTTTTGGTGCCCCGTTTGGATAAAACAGCAGAATGAAGATTGGAATGGTGAAAGCAAGTTCAAGCGGAAGGTGGAGAATTCAAATAGAATGGTGTTAGGCGAATAATGAGTGGATGCACGAGCGCCAATTTTTGTGACACCTAGCTGTATCACTCACTTTGTTGGATGACAGATTTGAAAATTTTTTTCAGATTATCCATTGGTCCGGTTAATCACAAGGTTCACTGATTTCACGTATAACGTTCACATAAGCCTCTGTACCGACTACGCTTCACCACTCGAGCAACTAAGATACTTCGAATACACTGTAAACTTTATGGGTAACGAAATGCGAAGCAATTAGGGCTCTAGATTGGTCCACGTAATTAGACTTGTGGAGCGCAAGCAATACAATAATGCAGATGGTGTTCGTGCTTATGTTCTAAACCCATCAAGATTTACCATATTTTCACCACTGAGTTCCATGAAAATAATCGAACCCACTTGTTCTGTGANGTGAACGTTTCGGTTGAATTATGTAGTCTCTTTCGAAAGGGCTGCGTCGATTGTGACGAATCGACCGCCATGTAATTGGTCTCACTCTCGACAGTAGCGCAGCTTGATATCAAAGTCAACTAGCTAAAGGGCACCTCATTTCGCGATTACACATCAGTAAGGTTTTGCTAACGTCTATGCGATTGCTTTAGGTTGTATCGCCAATTCACAGATATCCCGTTTAGGTTATTGCAAATCAATATCAAGCTACTTTGCCCCAATTTGTTCCTAAGATACACTCAAATCTAGTCAATTTCGCCACCTCTGCATTTGTGTTCACTTGCAACCCTACTAGTGTTGACCAAACTCGTGCAACATCACCCTCATTTTGAAAACCCATTTCAGCTAGCAATAGCATACGTATATATAGATGGTTATGGGTACAGTCTATTTATTCCTGACTTTATCTCCAACATCTACTTTCTTAGTTCATTTCTATCACCACTTGAATGTGCGCGACCGTGAGCGTCGCTATAAAATTTGCAGTAGTTCAAAAGTTACAGCTCTGATTTAGAAAATATTTTGGGCAACGAAGCATGGGTGTTCATTCTTTTTAATAGGTGATTCGTGTCCTATGAGAGTTTCTATTAGGTTGAGCACACGCATTCTAAATTTCTATTCTCTTTTCATTCAGTGCACAGTAAATAAGCAAATTATTGAAAACATTCTAACTTTAATAAATTGCTAAATTATTAGGCTACAAACTACTCACGCATTATCTCCAATACTGGAAGAACTGAAAACATAGTCCAAGAAAGACACAAGTTCATATTCGAAAGTTGACCTTGAGTTGTGCGGCTCGTTGAATAAGCGTCCTGTAGTGTCACCATGCCCAAACCGGATAAAACTTGCAAAAGGTTTTGGTATATAATTAAAGCCG